TGGAGATTTACAACAACAAAAAAACTACTTGTCCAGGGCCTCAAGTGGGAGCCAATCTGCTTATGCCTTATAACAATATACTTGTCGTGATGCAAAAAATAATTTTAACCAAATCCGTATTTAATGTTGCTAAGAAGCGCTTCTCATTGGTCAGTGTTGTCACCTGACTGCGCTGACTATTGAGTGCTCGCAACTTGCAAAGCGAATTTCAAAATCCATAGTGCAGGGCTGCACTGGACACCAGTATGGGGTACAGATAGCACACCTATGCCGGCACTGGGGAAGGACCGTTCGCCAAAAAGTAAGTATAGCGGAGGGGAGAGAGGCCAGATTTCAGGTGCTAATTCCATTTTCCCAAATTACTTGGGGAAAGTGAACTTACTCCTTAATGCACATGTGCGTGTTAAGGTGGCCATACACTTTACAACCATCGCAAGACTGTTAACTTAATGCCAGTTTCCTATTATACTGAGTGAGCCCGCCCCCCATAGGGGCAGGCATGCAAAGACCACAATGCCGAACGGGCAGTGTGCGCGTGCGCACACCGGCCCGTTCGGCATTTGTCTCCCGAGCATCACGGCCTGGAGTTCTGCTTTAAGCTGGGTATACACAGTCAGGGTTTTCCTCTGACCAGCAATGTCGCAAGAGAACATAGAGCCAATCAGGAAGCCGGGCACGAGTAATGAATGTGGTTTGTGGTTTTCATTAGGGAACTCCATTCATTTCCAGAATGTACAGTAAAACGAAACAAAATTTTGAATGACATCCGTCAAGTCTCTGATGGCATGATCGAATGTACTGATTAGATTTTTCGTATGAACGTTTGTACGGAAATCTACCAGTGAGTGTATACCCAGCTTAAAGGAGAACTATGGGGTCAGGGCTTTTCCCCATAGTTCTCCTAAGGGTAACGGGAGGACATAAACTAGCGTCCTCCCGTTACCTAATGCTCAGTATAACGCGAGCTGCAGCTGAGACGCCGCAGCCGGGACGGATCCCGACAATACTGTCTGGATCCACCCAGCTGCGTGAGTGACAGCTGGCTCTGCCTATCTAAAGGCAGAGCCAGCTGTGTCCGCCCCCTCCCCTGTCTGTTCCGCCAGTCAGCGCTGGAGGATCGGACAGGGGAGGATCCCTGCAGAGAGCCGCGAGTGACAGTCACGGCTCTCTGCAGGGACAGGATCGAGAAGTGAGTGAGCGACAGTATGTGTTCGCTCACTTCCCGATCTATTGAGCCGACGTGTGACAGTTTAATTGTCACACGTCGGCTTGAACTATGAGGCTGAGTGATTTTCACTCGCCTCATAGTTCTCCTTTAAGACACTGAGGAGGAAAACTAGCTACATACAGGTCCTCATTGTTTATTTCATCCACATGTGTATGTCTGTTACAGCCATGGGAACCATAAACAGTAAGCTCCTAGTCTATTATACGTAAAGCTGAAGGTAACAGAGCAACAGAGATCTGCATAGATGACTCCAACAGATGGCCTCATGTGCTCTGGATACAAGGGCTGATCTTCTGCCAGACCACAAATAAAACCTCATGAAATAGAAGTCTTTCTGTCTGATAACAGAGAAGCCCCTGTATCTACAGCACATGCAGCCAAATGTAGGAATAACACATGCAGGCTTGGTTGATCACGTTTTGCCCCAGTGCTCATCCTATAGTTACTATAGAAGAGAAATGTAGAAGAAAAAGGAATTTCCCCCTATGTTCAAGTCTGAGATAGAGATTTCAAGTTCAAAAAAGTAATGT